CATTTTGGATTATGGACGCGCGCTACAGGCCGCGAGAGCGCCTGTTGAAGTAAAAAAATATCGACTCGAAGTCTAGCCGGAGAGCGTACTTTTTGAATTTTTTCCTTGGCTTCACAGTACAGTGGCTTCACTTCACTCGGGCTTTGCATTTTTGCTTCGGTTTTTCTGACTGACCTGGCCTTGATGATGGCGGCGGTGGCGGTCTTGGCGAAAGATCCAGTTCCATCTGAGATACTCTGTCGCCTTTTCTTGTCTACTGAGGTTCTGGCAAAGCGCAGCTGCATCGAACCTGACTAGATGTAGCTGCACGCATCCTTTGTTTGCCCTGCAAATCTCGATCTGTTGCTCTTCTTGCTGTTTGGCCGAAATGGCTGATGCCAAGGATGAAAATATTCTTCCTGTAAAGAGGCCGAAACTGAGCAAGGGCACGTCAAGATATGTAGGGTATACAAAGAAAAAGAAATGTCATGGTCGTTTCAGCAGCTCACGACAGCCAACACGCTCCATCGTGTCGGGATTGGAAGTATCCAGCACGGCTGTTCCGAGCGCTGTTGCTCTTGTTATTCTTCTTCTTCAGAAATTCTGCACACCTTGTCGGCCAAAGTACGCGCGCGCGTGCACGGAAAATAGATGCGCTGAGCCGTTTCTTGTTCGATTTTGACAAATAATGGCTTGTTGTTTTGCTCTCGACTTTGGCTATCCTTCTACCGTTCAATATTTTACGGAAACGCAACGGCTCCGCCTGTTTTTTTAGCCGAACTTTGGCCAAAGATACTGCAAAACCCGGAACTCGTTTGAAAAAATACGAACGGTGGAAGTCTTGGAACGTCTTTCGTGCGTGTGGATTCAAAAATTCAGGCAGTTTGAGCCAATCGTTATGAATCCCGTAGAGTTGAAAGTGAGTGATATTGATGGGAAAATGCGATTTGAGCACTGCTCGATTGTGTGGTACAGTATATGCACATGCCTGTCACGTGCATGATGTAGCTGGCGACGCTAGCATGCCAACCCGTGAACCCTAAACTTACAAAACTTACAAAAACTAAGGGGTCGTCCGTATTTATCGAAAAATTAAAAAATCTGTCCTCGTGCAAAAATTAATTATCTCTGACCCACCCACCCAAGGGCTAGTGCGAAGTAGTTAACGTCCAGCCATTCTTCCCACTGTGACGCGGATACAGGACATCACCCATTGGTGAAGTGAAGCATGCATCAGGTGTTGCCACATTCAAACACACATCAACTATCATTTCCAGTGCGTACACACTTTTTGCTGTCTTTTTTTTCTTTTTTTTCTTCCCTCTTCGCTACCTTGTTATTGGGAAGAAATTCCCGTTTGGATATGCGAAATAAAACAGTAAAAAAAAAACACAAACAAAAAACTCACTCCAATCCACCAACAGCTTGCAACTGTAAGGACAGGTCTGGTCGACAGGTGGGGCAGTCGTCAACAAACGTCACCTGCACAGAGACAATCACAACACACACAATGATTAGCTGCTTGCACCTATGACAGTACATTCATAGCCCACTTTTATGTTTATGTCTATTGTCATTCGGATCTTCCCAAGTTGTACACTGTACTGTTGAGATATCGAATTCAAATAAATCAACACAATACACAGGATATGATCACGTGACCAGCAACAAATGCAGTGTAAAGAGATTTTGAAGTCTGAAGAAAAGGTTGAATGGTCTCTGCTGGGATAACAGCTATACCATAGTTCAGTGGTTAGAGCATCACTGGCCTCAAGCGAAGGTCCCTAGTTGAGTTGCTATAACAACCTAGGAAATCCATTGCTTACATTTCCGACTAGCGGTCCTTGTGTGTTCTCGATGACAACATGAGCCAGGTTTGTGCGCGTGCTGGCCGGCACGTCTGTTTGCCAGGTAAATGAGAACTGGGACTGCCGGCATGGACGATTTAGTACGGTCTGGATACGAACAAACAGACAAACACCCACACACGCATGCGCATACCAAGCAGCAAGGAGTGTGACTGAAAAACAAAACGGCAGTGTGAGCTGGTACGCGCATGTAGGCACTCACAAATATGCATAAACACACACACACATACCCCACCCACACACACATGCCCCCCCCCCCCCCCCCCCCACATACACACACATGCAATAATTTGCAAGCATTCAACTACTCCTACTCATCTCTAATCAAGAACAGTGCACAAATAAAGACAGTAGACATACACACAAACTCACTTCAAGGTAGATGTTATGTGTAGCGCAGGCAGGTGTGGTATGGCTGCTAATAGTTATGCTACTGTCGAGTTGAGCTACACGACTGACATTACGCACGCCAGGCATGAACGGCTGGAAGAGAAGATTGGGCTGTCGCTGTGCGGACATTGTCACGCTTGACAACGTGTACCGAGAAACTGCAGAAATGCAACAAGGCCAGAAATATAGATTTCAGTCACGAGAATGCTCGGAGAGGTTTCTTTGTCCATGCATTTCTATTTTCAACCTCTACATTTTGATTCTTATTACTGTGGTATTTGTACTTTGGAAGTCATTATTTATTGACTGGGCACGTACTGCGCACAGTGCGTGCATGCGTAGTTTAAGTGCTGGTTCTTTGGTTGTCGTTCTGCTTCTTGTTCTCGTTCTGAGAGTGATTACCATGAATGTCCTCTGTTGAGTATTGAGTATTGTGTGAACTATAACTTCATGGCCAGCAATCGAGGACATCTGAGAGTTGTATTTTTTGCACTCCTCCGAGGTGTGATTTTTGGCGCGCTGGGCCAAGCACAAGGAAGCCATCTGCAAAAAAAACTGCAGAAAATGGTTGTTTGATCCTTTGGTGTAATCTTTGTTTCTAGTCGAAGCTAGTTGTTGTTTGGAGCAGAAACGCTGAAATTGACTATTTTCTGCATGTACTCATACATGTACTCATGTACTCAGGCATGCAGTCTCACTCGTATTTTAGCTCTTTTTCTGGAATGGATGCTGCTCTGCGCCCCTTGGTGAACCTTTCCTGCGCTCGTGGAGCAGCTGAAAAGGACCACTGGTATGTCTGGTTCCTGGTTTGAAAGTGGAGAGTCGACTTTTGTGCCTTGAAAAAGGAGTAGAGAGCGATAAAGGTACGTCTGTGGCTTATTTTTGAGTGCTCCTCGTACATTTTTGATCGTGATAGAAATTCTCAGACCAAAGTCAGACCAAAGTCAGCGCGATGATGGACGTACAGTTTTCTTGTGGATTTTTAGTTGTTTCATCTCGTATCTATGTCATTATCGTGATGGTGAAGTGGAGAGGGTGATTTTCTTCCTCTAGGCTTCGTTCGGCCGACTTTGCTTCGTCCTCGTTCAAAAGTGATCCTGAAAAAAAGGTCGATTCGCAAAATTATGTTAATTTTCAATGTACGTGATGACATGCGCTTGCTGGCTATGATAATTGCCGGCGGACATCTCTACTTGTTCTTTTATGCAAAATAGCAAAATACAACCAACGAAACAAGCAGTGCCAGGTTGCCCTTGCTAACAATTGCTTTCTAAGATTGTTCAGCCCATTTCATTGTGCCTCAATAACAAAAAAACCCAATGAATTGCACACAGCTACTTTAAATCAATTACACCAAAATGCTTTTGGCAATCAGCGGGGAGTGATGGAAACGACTCCCAACCCCACACTCTTACCTATCGGAAGAGTTATGGGTCTGTCGCTCGTTGGCTCAAAGCAGACCGTAATTGGGATGCTGAACAGGGGCAAAACATAATACAAACACAAAACGCAATAACTTACAATACAATATAAAGTTTCGACTTTAAGTTTTTAGTGGTTTGCGTTCGAAAATATTTATTTTCCACATGCATTTTCCTGATTTCTTCTCCAGTGTATGTTCTATTGCATTTTAATCCATTGTGTTAATTTTGCCCGTAAAACAGGCTTGTACAATACAAACACGCACAAACTTGCTCGAGCAAAAACGAATAGCAGACCGATGTAGAGTAATACTGAACATAGGATGCAAGAGGCACAGCAGA